AAGAACAATCAGGCGGGCGGTAGTTTCGTCTGGTGTGAACCCAAAAATAGACCGCATTGAGTGAAGGGCGACAAGTGTGCCAGAGACATCTTTGGAGAGACAGAAACATCGTACAATCTGATCATACAGAGCCTTTGGCATCTGGGTCTGGGTGAATTTCTGGGCGTGTGGAGATAATTGCGAATACCATGACATCATGTTGGCATAGAGCTGTCGAGCTGATGGGAAGCCTATGTCAAATGCTGTACGTCCGCGGTCGTATTGGAGCTTAGCGCAGTCCCAGAGGCAGGCATATGTCTCTAGGTCGGGCCGAATGGCGGCTGACATAGTCTGGAACTTGGACCAAAGAGACCGCACGTCCTGCTTGCGGAGTTCTGCGTATAGAAGGTGGTTCATGAAATAGGAGTTTGGCCTGATTTGTGCATCGCCTAGGCACTTGACCAAGTATTTGACCATATCTTCGTCCCCCCGGCGAGTGTAATGTAAAAGGAGGATGGAGAAGGTTTCGATACTCGCAGGGGGAATTGCTCTCTGCATAAATCGAGGAAGGCGGGTGCCTTCTACTTGTTCATGCTTGACCTGGACCTGAGGAGAGTTCTGCTCTGGTTGGAAACGCTCCCATACCGTATTGATACGGTGCTGGATCATGGACCACGCGAGTCGCTCTGCCTTGTTGCGTGCGCTTGAATTTCCTTCGCGGAGCCAGCCCGCAATGATTCCGTTCAAGTGCTTGCTATCCGGCTTGACGCCTCGCTCATACATGAGTTCTATGACAAGGGCAGCAGAGTCGACCTCACCCATGCCAATAAGCTTTTTCATCCAACTGGCATAGAAGAATCTGTTCTGGAATCGGCGAGGCAGTACCTTGAGTACAGACAAAGAGACTTTGTTCACATCGTTCTCGTTGATGCTCGATGCATGAAGATTACCTGCTAGGCCCAGGGCAGACTTGTACAACGCAGTTGAATCATTGCTTGGGTCTTGTCCGGTGACCATCATATCCTTGAAGATTGCAACCGCCGTATCCAATCGACCGGCTGTGAGGAGGCCAATGCTGACCTGGTCGTAGTCGTCCATAGTCATCTCTGATCCTAGGAATGTCTTGAGCTGCAAATAAAGCGCCCATGCTTTCACTTCGGCTTCCTTTCCGGGAAGCTTTCCCCATGCTATGATGATTGGGATAAGTACACGCGGCTGGCGGTTTCGGTCATTTGCCAGAAAGGCCAATGCAATATCCTGGGCTCGTTGTGGGTTGCTCTCAGCGGCGAATAGCCGTACTCCAAGTTTCCAGTACTCTTCCAAATCCTCTTTCTCCTGGGATAGCTCTGTTTGGTATGCTTCCCACTGTTCCAACGCAAGGTTAGTGGCGCCGTCATCATGTAAAGATGTGATATAGGACAATATTTGAGGTGTTGTGAGCGCTTGACCCAGAGATGTAGCATCCTGAACCAGGATTCGCAAGTGTGTTGAGCGTGTAGCTTGTTCGATATCTCCGGTAGCTTGCGAGTTCCATATCGCTTCCATTGCACCCTCGGGCATGATAGACAAAAAATGCGGGACGGTCTGCTTGCATCTTCGATACCACTTCCACAATTCTTGCCGAGCCCGCTCGTCTGACATGTTCACTTGGTATTGTCGTAAAGAATTGTTGAATTTGACAGCGTATGGGTGGGAGTCTGCACCGGCGCGCTTTGCAGCAGCAGATCGTCTAGCAGCCAGGCTGCGCCGCCTCTTAGCTCCATCTTCCCAGTTCTCTTGTTCCATTGCGAGGCCCTCAAATTCCTCCCGCACCATGTCATCGAGCTCCTGGTCGAAAATCTCCTCTAGCCCGGGCTGGTTGGCTTGCTCGGGGTTTTCCTCATCGTATTTCCGTAGAGCTTCTAGAGCAATCTTTCTTTCCGCCTCCGGCAAGCTTGTGATGAACTCGCTGTTGGGACCAAAAGGCCCCTCCTCCATAACTTTTAGTTCATCCTGAAGCTTCACGAGCTCTTGCTCGACTCGGTCTCGATCCTCATGGTCTTCGGCTTCGGGGTTCACTTTTCGTCGGTTTTTGCTCTGAAGGGATTCCTGTTCGTAAAAGTTGACTTTGTCGTTTGGTCCGCCATAATTCAAACGCCGCGGAGCTGCGGCGGAGAAGGCCCGGCGTGGAGCGCACAATGGGCTGCGAGCCACATGCTGACACCATCGGGCTCCTTGAATAGCCTGGCGCAGCATGAGTACGGCAGTCAATCGGTCATCGGATATATGAAGACAAGAAGAGTGGGCGGAGTGAAGATGTTCAGACTCGGAAGAGATGCAATTATCGCCTGATTCGGTTTAGCGTCAGTCGCGCTTCCGCCTTGAAGTCATCCTCAGTCGCGACAACTTCCTTTCAGTTGAGCAACAACATGGATCCAGATGGGTTTGACGATGCCCTAGGCTTGTCGAATGACAAATCTCAGAACCTGGTAGGTTCTTGAACCTGTCGTTGCTTTTTTGGGGTTGCTCGTTAACAAAACAGGGTGCCTACATCTACCAACCCCAAAAACACGGGAAAGCAGGCGAACGACCCTCAAAGCGCCGCAAGGTCTCAGCGTCCGGTAATGAAAAGGGACACACAGATGGACGGCGTTTTGTGCCTCTTCTGAACGGAGACGAGAATGCCCAATCCGTCCAATTGCGACACGATTCCTATCAACAGCTGTGGTCAGAGCAGGAACACAAGATCCAGGTCAGTTAGATCAGTTGATGCAAATTTGGGTTGATCAATTACTCATGTGGGCTCAAGGCTATTCTCGAAGATGTTGATGCTGGTGTTTTGACCGAAGTCTCGTCCTTTGTCAGAGATACCTCACCTCAAACGTATGTCCCTACCCCGGCAAGAAACAAGAATTCGCTCTAATTTGAGCTCCAGATGCAATGGGTGTATTCCAACGGCTTTGGTGACGGTCGGCTCCAACGTGTCCTCGCTTAGCAGACTGTTATCACGACTCAATGACCAATTGATATCGACTGAAGAAGGCAGTGTGGTGGTGTTGGAATCGGGCGATGCTCCCAATTTGAAAACAGCCCTGAAGAATATCATCCGAGCCACTGTCACGAATACAGATGGGAATGATGGATATCAGAAGTTCCTCACAGATCGTGCTGTATGTGCTTGCGCCACGGAACCTGTGTTTCTATTCTAACTGCCTTCCAGGGACCTCGACTTCTTGGTTACGATCTGGACCTTCTTCACGACTATGTGCAGAGAAAGGGAACTAAAAAAATGGTACTAGCTCTGCGTGACAGCGAAGCTTTTGATACAGGTCTATTAACCGATCTCTTGTCTCTATTCAAGTGCGACAATCCTTATCTTGCCTTCATTTGAATATTCACTGACTCTTGGTAGATCATGGATTGATCGCATACCATTCACTGTTCTGCTGGGTATCTCTACGTCCGTAGAGCTCTTCGAAGGTCGATTGCCTCGCTCGTGTGTTGCTCTTCTCCAAGGGAAACATTTTGAGGTTCAGGAGGCTGGCAACTGCGTCGACCGCATTTATGAATCTCTTCAGACCGACTCGAACACTAAACTCTGGCTGGGACGCAACATCACTAGTACACTGTTTGAAAATACCAGTGACTATTTCCAAAGTCCAGAGGCATTTAGTCGCATGGTCAAGGTAAGTATTCCTTCCAATGCCTTCGAAACAGGATTCTCATATCTGCTGCAGTACGCATACATGTCTCATTTCTTCGCGAACCCCCTGGCAGTGCTATTTGCCAATCCAGATCCGACTGTCCTTTCTAGAGGGAAGCTCTGTGAAGTCGTCAGGAACCTGCCATCATTCCGAATGTGAGCATTTCAAGTAGAATATTCCTACATTGTCTAACATTATCTTAGGTTCTGCGAGGACCTGGTTGAAGAGGGGTCCACCAACCAAGTCCGAGACATGCTAGAGAACGACGATTATCTCCTCCAAGAAACGATCAGTTGCCTTGATGCCGGGCAACAAAGAATGCGGAGCATCTTCCAGGCAGTTCTTGCTGTACATGCCTGTCTTCAATACACACAGAACACGAAGAAGGCTACTGTCTCTGATCTGTCCGTTCGCGCTCTCTCTGGCGAGTTGTCTGATTCCACTCTCGTGGATGAGATGATGGCTACAACAAAGGCGTTAGACTCCGATAAGCTGGATGAGCTTCTTGGACGCCTCCAGGATATTCTGCCTAACGGGCAACTGGGGGCGATTCAAGTAGACCTCAAGACCTTGTTGGAAAAATGTCCAGAATCTGGGCCATTGCGCAGTGGATACAACATCAACTCTACCGTCACAACTACCACCGTTGTCCAATCACGGGTCCAGCTCAGCAAAGGCAAGGCTGAGTTGTCCGAACAAGACTTTGAGTACACCAAGATTATCGACCAACTGGTTGTCTTCTTGGAGGAGTATCTCACGGAGACTCTCATCAAACCACAAGACATGTTCCTTCATGAGGCTTTCTTGTTTGATCTACGGAACCCCTTAAAAGAGACATTTGCACCTCGTCCGCGTTTTGCAATTGAGCGTGCCTTGGCTACTCCATTTGACTATTTACTTTCTTCCTCGGATGCTACTACGACGAAAATCTCGTCCAAGCAACCTGCTACGGCGATTTTGTACCAGCTGTACCTTGAGTCAGGTGCTCTGGTGAACGTTCACGATCTTTGGCAGGCTTTCAATGGTGTTTTTGAAAATGAAAAGGGCGACGGCTGCGATGATCGTGTCGTGATGTCTTTGTTCTATAGCGCTCTCTCGGAACTGAAGACGTTTGGTGTGATCAAGAACAGCCGCAAGAAGACTGATCATCTGGCCAAATCAGCATGGATGGGACTATAGACTATGAAGTTAATCTCAAACAGCGTCATGTTATATCATATTGCTGGTCAAGGGGTATCATGGACATAAAAGTACAGTAACTAATAAGCTGGTCGTGGTGCTCGGTTCTCCAAGAGTTGGTGGACAGCGTGACTGGAGGCGTAAGACGCACACCTTATATCATTCAATCGGTCGCTGAATGATATCGTCATTTCCAAGAGGCCGTCCACCGTCGCTCAAGACCATAGCCTCTCTTCTTCGCCGGCGAAGTGCTTGTTCTCTTGGAGTCCCTTCTTGGAGCCTACGCGAAGAGCGTCCAAATGTGCCCCCCGCCTCATCCGCATCCACCATCCAAACATCGCTATCTGCATCATCGTCCTCATCGTCCTGGTCATTTTCTTCGATCATGCTGCCCATCAATCCATACTTCCGGAGCTGCTTGATCCCGTCCGGATGTGACGAAAGAGTGCTGAAGATCGAGCTCATGACTGCATCATCTGACCACCATGTTTTCATAAGAATTACCACGTCCCGTCGACGAGAAGGGTCGGCCTGCGCACATGGGAAAGGATACTTGCAAAGCCATCGGCTGATAATCCCCGCTTCCAGCGCTTCTGGGACGTTCTCTGGCAACAGTATATTCATGATAGAGAGTGCCTTTTTCTCTCCCATGGGCCTTGTCTTTGGTAGGATGGGTGAGTTCGTCATGGATGTTCTTTCCAAGTGTTCTGACAGGAAATTGCACAAGCAGTTAACTAGGGCGGTATAAGTGGGAAGGTCTCCGAGCCGACTGCATATCGAGGTTCTGGAAACTTCGTAGAATTAGAATCAGGAAAATATAGACAAAGTTGATGACATACGAGCTCGGTTGGAAACTAGGAAGTTCAACGCATTCAAAGCTCGGCCCTGGGAGATTTTGTGTTTAGATGCAAGTTGTTCCAGTAGAAGATCGCGGGTATCACCCTTGGTAGATCTTTCGGATATAATTCGTAAAGCTCTACAAGGTGTTAGTAGAGATACTGGGTCTCGGGATCGTGGTTTCACCGTACGCAGCTCGGAGGTCATGACTTGTGCTTTGAGAAAGCTTTAAGAGAGTGTCTAGCTTGAGAGCTGTCTTTTGTTAGAAGAGAATATATATTGATGGTATTATTGCTTACCTTCTTCCGTCCCCTCGCTTATAATCTTGTCATCGTTCTCGACTTGTTTGATTTCTGTCAGATCGACGACATGACGGAGGTCTGTGGCGATACCGCGGACAGCGAAGAACAGTGAAACACCTGGGAAAGTTAGCTTTGAATCACTAACACTATTAACAAGCTAGCACAGCCCTACCTAAGCAGAGCCATAGCACACCGTCCCCTGAAAAGGGAGACATGGCGATTGATTGTGGGAGTTGGAGATGGATGCGGAGAACGTACATGGCAGAATCCTGATCGGCGTAGACCGCGGAGGCGGTGAACCTGATTTTTTTGATGGGATCAAGACCAGAGAAAAAAACTGTCAACTCTCGATTTGAGTACACCCATACATAATGCCGCCCTCTCAGCTAAAGCAGCTGAAGGCCTCCCTTCGTGACAACGGAGTTCTTGGTCCTCAGAAGTCCAAGAAGGAAAAGCGCCAAAATGCGAAGACCGGCGTTGGTGCGAAGAATCGCAACCAGCGCGAAGTCGCCCTGCAGGCCATTCGAGATCGATTCAATCCCTTCGAAATCAAGGCGCCAAACAAATCGACCAAATTTGATGTTACCACAAGAGATGGCAACTCGACCGCTGGAGGAGGCGCTCGCCCCGGTGTTACTAAATCACTTGGTGAAGAGAGAGTAGGTGTATTGCTTCCGAGGACCGAGAACTTTCGGCTGACCTTTGTTTGTTAGCGTCGTGCCACTCTTTTGAAAGAGATGAACAGCCGGAACAAGATCGGTGGACTTGTTGATCGCCGTTTCGGTGAAAATGATCCCACCATGACACCCGAGGAACGAGCCGCCGAGAGATTCGCCAGAGAAAACCAGAGGAAGATGCGCAAGGAATCGATGTTCAACCTCGAGGATGATGAGGAGGAGATGCAGCTCACTCACATGGGTCAGTCTCTGTCCTTCGACGGACCTATCCAGGATGACTTCGATGCGGAAAACATGGAGGGTGCAGAATCCGACGACGAGACTTCGCGTAAACGGAAGCGGTTCCCAGATGGTGAGGATGCTGGTGACGGTGAAGACCGGGAGGACTTTATTGATTACGAAGATGGAGAGCAGCCGGGGCGCAAGAAGAGCAAGGCTGAGGTCATGAAAGAAGTCATTGCCAAGTCCAAGTTTTACAAAGCGGAACGACAACAGCTCAAGGATGATGACGAAGATCTTCGTGAAGAGTTGGATAAAGAGCTTCCTGACCTCTTTGATGCCCTGCGAGGCTTCAAGGCTCCTCCCAAGCCCGAAGCACCTAAGCAAGATTTCTCGGAGATCAACCCTGAACGAGCTGCTATGCTGCAGAAGAACGACGGCAAAGATGCTGAGAAGGAATACGACCAGCGACTTCGGCAGTTGACCTTCGATAAGCGATCAAAACCCACAGACCGCACGAAGACTGAAGAGGAGAAGGTAGAGGAAGAGGCTGAGCGCCTGAAGAAACTCGAGAACGATCGTCTTCGAAGAATGCGCGGCGAACAACTCACCGATGACGAAGGAGAGGAGCAAGGTCAGGACTTTGACGATGAAATGCCCGACGATGAAGAGTCAGACATTGATGATGCCATGCATTTCGGTCTTCCAACCAACTCCGGTCAACGCCCGGAACTGGCCGTTGAAGATGAAGATGACTTTATCATTGATGATGATCTAGTCGAGACGAGATCAAACGCCAGTCTTTCCATTGACGAAAGCGACATCGAAGAGGAAGAGCTCTCAGAAGACGAGTCTGAAGGGCCCGATGGAGAGGACGAGCTCATCAATGGCATTGATTTGCCAACAGACGATGCTGCCGCCGCATCGACTGCTGTTGAAGTCAACGAGACCGCCAACGGAAAGCTCGCATTCACCTACCCTTGCCCTAAGGACCACGAAAAGTTCCTGAGTATTATCAAGGACGTGCCTGTCGAGGATGTTCCTACAGTTGTTCAGCGTATTCGAGCCCTGCACCACCCCCGACTTCACCCTGACAACAAGGCAAAGCTCGCTCGCTTTGCCGAAGTTCTTGTTGAGCATGTCTCTTACATGGCGAACCAGGACGAGCAGCCTCCATTTGCCATTCTGGAGAACATCCTCCGTCACATCCACTCTTTGGCTAAGACGCATCCTCTCAATGTGGCTCTCGCATTCCGTGCACGTCTTCGCGAGATTTCCAAGGAACGCCCTCTCGACCTCCTTCCCGGCGACCTAATTATTTTGACCGGTATCTCAACCGTCTTCCCTACATCTGATCACTTCCATATAGTGGTCACCCCGGCTCACCTGTGCTTGGCGCGGTACCTGGGCCAGTGCTCTACTACATCCCTCACGGATCTTGCAAAGGGCGCATTTGCCGCAAGTCTTTGCCTCCAATACCAGACGGTCTCAAAGAGATACATGCCCGAGTTTATCAACTACACTCTGAATGCCCTCTGCAACCTTGTTCCTACGGAGTCTACCCCCAACTTCGGCGCCTTCCCCTACAGAAAGTCACAGGAATCCGTTCAGCTCACACCCTCCAAGAAGGTCATCCCGCGTAAGCTGCAATTCCGCGATGTGACCTCCTCCCCCTCCGACACCCAGTCAGAGGAAGTCCTCAAGATCTCCCTCGTCACCACTTTCGTGACCCTCCTCGTCAACGCCTCCGACATCTGGTCCGAGAAATCCGCCTTCACAGAGATCTTCACACCAACCCGTGCCGTCCTGCATCACCTCCGCAGATCTCTCAAGGGCAAGATCTCCAACGCAGCCTGGACCCCCATCGTGAACAGCGTCGGAACAGTCGATACTCACCTCAACCAAGCCCGTCGCGCCCGTCGACCTCTCTTCCTGCACGACCACAAACCCCTGGCCATCAAGACCGCGATCCCCAAGTTCGAGGAGAACTTCAACCCAGACAAGCACTACGATCCGGATCGCGAGCGTGCCGAGTCCAACCGTCTCAAGAAGGAGTACAAGCGCGAGAAGAAGGGTGCTATGCGCGAGCTCCGCAAGGATGCCAGCTTTGTTGCCCGCGAGAAGCTGCGCGAGAAGAAGGAGCGCGATGCTGAGTACGAGAAGAAGTACAAGCGTCTTGTTGCCGAGATTCAGAGCCAGGAGGGCCGTGCTGCCAACGAGTACGAGCGCGAGAGGAATGGTCGTGGCAAGCGGTAATCTTGCATTTGCATTTGGTTTTCTGCGTTTTCTTTCTTCTATCTTATATTGTTGTCCTGTGGGGCAGGTATATACACATTGTTCATCTGGCGCAAGGCTGGGAATAAAAGTCATGTTCATTTGGATGTACTCTATCGTATTTGTACTTAGTAGACTTGTAAGGTGTAATCTAGCTGACTTCATGAAGAAATCAGATGTTAAACCCGTAGCACCCCCTGGTGTTACTAGAGATGGAATAAGCAGGTCATCAGATTGCCATACGTTGCCGCGCAATAGTTCAATAGAAGGCAAATCATCCACAGCTATGTTCACTCATCAGTATCCAGCAACACACTTGAACTACTGATGCAAATCAACCCCAATACCAATCAAATATTCACACCGAGCCCTCTGATCCGAAGACACAGTCTCCATCCTAGTCTCACCCGTCCGAATGAAAATGCGTTGGTGTCCCCCATCCTGTCCCCAAGTCCGCCATTCAGGGCTTGACTGAAGCCGATGCCTATTCGGATCCAGAGACCTGATAAAGCTCGTCCAATAAGCCTGCATCAATGGCACGATAGCTGCATTGGAGGTAGTATATGAGGCTGGTGCACCGCCACCGGTATTCTCAGGACCCCAGATGGCGTTCACTTCGATCGTATGAGATGTGCCTACTCCCGAGCTCTCGGCCGCTGGGTCTTGCACTGCGTAGTGATAGTTCCAGCTTGGGACTCCGGCTGCTGCGTAGACAGTGGACATGTCGATTCCAGGGCAGATGTATCGTATTTCACCGTAGGCTGTGCTTGCTGGCCGCCAGTAGTCTCCAGCGTTTGGGAAGACTTCTGTTTGGTTTTCGGTGAGATAGATGCTGTTGATTTTGGATAATTGGGCTTTTGTCATGTATGGGAACTGGTTTTTGATGAAGGTATCAGCTTCGGCAACACTTGAGGTGCTTCTAGGCACGAAGATCGTGCCTTCGTTCGTGTCGTCGCCGAATATCACTGGTACTTTGATGAATTTGCCTTCGTGGAATAGGCTATATGTGTGATCTGGTACCAGGTCTTCATCAATTGTGGGACTGTACAGGTACAACGGCTTGCCCGGTGCTCCAGGGTAGGGTCTATTAACGTTCTTCTGTTGTAAGGCGTTGACGTCGAGGTTTCGCAGACACGCCAGTGTATCGTTATTGCCGTTGCACCCAGTCGCATTCACAAGCTCATTGTATGCGAATTGGCTTTCGGCTACATTGAGCATTGTAGCAAAGCTTTGTGACTCGGCTGCAGCTGCAACAAAGAGACCTTCGTCTTTGCCGCCATATGCTGACAGCATGAGAGTCACAGAGGCAGCGCCTGCACTGTCGCCGCCAATGACGACGTGGTTGGGATCACCGCCAAACTTTGGATAATGTCAGCCTGTCCCGCCGAAGAGGAAAGGAAGTCATCTTGACCTTTGACTTACCTTGCTAATATGCTTGTGAACCCACTTCAGAGCCTTTCGCTGATCTTTGAGTCCATTGTTCAAGCTTCCTCCTGATACAACTTCTTCTCCGGCGAGAAAGCCATAGGGACCAACACGGTAGTTGAATGTCACCACCACAATGTTGTTTCCAGATGCCTCGATCAGACCAGTCCCGTTGTAATTGGCATTTGAGTTCTGCGCAAAGCCACCGCCTTGAATAAAAAAGTAGACAGGCAGTTTCTTAGATCCAACTGCTCTCGTAGGTGCGTAGACATCTAGGAACAGGCAGTCCTCTGAGGTTCCTGCTGGGACAGTTGTTCCTTCATTTGATGCCGTGGGAATGCATATACTCCCATGCTAGTGAAATGATCAGTAGCCGTCAACACATAGCGAGATGCAGTCCATAGATTACCTCAGTCGCTTGCTGAACCCCGGCTACAGGCAAAGGGTCTTGTGGCGCTGCAAACCGTCTCTCTCCCACGGGAGGAGCAGCAAAGCGTATGCCAAGCCATTGAGAAACACCAGTGGAAAGCGAGCGGCCTTCGTAGTTAGCATATCCCAGCTTCACTACTGGAGAAGTGGCCGATGCCACGGAAAGCAGTGCGAATGTACACAAAAAGTGCGCCATAATGACCGACACACCGATTTAGAGCTGACACCATGGCTTTTAAAAAAAGGCGCCCTCGGCCCCGGGACTCAGAAGAAGGGCCGAAAACGGGGGCGAAGACGGGATAAAAATATCCACTGAGGGGGAACCCCTGAGGGCAGTGTAGAGGGCAATGTAGAGGGCAGTGTAGATCTTAATAAGTTATAGAGCGCCCAGAGTGCCCAGAGACCACTACTCTGCATGTGTGCAGGGATGGACAACCAGCTCCACTGTCTTCCCCGCAAAAAGCTAAACTCGGCGTATTCTTTGTCCGCCAGATCTCTTCTTCCTCACCTCGGTCTAGATCTCATTTTTGTCTACGCCATGTCTGATGAAGATGATTATATGTCCATGGTGATTGAGGAGCCCACTCAAAAAGAGACCTTCACCCAGAAAAAGCGCCGCGAACAACGAGAGGTAGGCCCTTTCCCCAACCCAACCCAGCGCTTTCACCTCGAGCTAGTCATATCACAAGAGCTTGTCCTAACATTCCAATTGCAATATAGGCCGAAGCCCGCGGCAGAGTCCCTTCTAAAGCCGAACGCGCCGCACAAGAAGCCGCCCGCCGAGATGAAGCTCTAGCAACCAGCACCCTCAACCCTACTAACAAGGGCTTTCAGATGATGGCCAAGCTTGGATTCAAACCTGGTGAATCACTTGGGAAACAGGCACCCGCCACCAACACAGAAACAGCCTCCGACTCCTCGGATAAAGCGCGCTCGGAGCCGCTGAATCTCATTTTCAAAGAGAACCGCGGGGGTATCGGTCTGGATACGGAGAAGAAGCGCAAGATCCGTGAGGAAGCTGAAGAGGCGGTCAAGAAAATCAAGCACGAGGAGGGCACTTATCGGGATCGCGTGCGCGAAGAGCGTGAGTTGAAACGGACCGAGGCGCAAGTGCGCGCTGCGCAGAAGGTTGCGGAGAGGTTGGAGGCGGAGGCCGAGGCGGAGACAACAATTGAGAAGGGAGACGGAAAAAGGCAGGACCGGAAGTCTACTGAGAACGAAGACGAATCTGCGCATCGTGACGGGAATGCTGACGACGAGCCAGCATCTGGCGCCGGTCCCAAGAAAGCAGCCCCTATCAAACCCACCTCTCAAATTAACGTCCTCTACCGTGGTCTTATCCGTGAGCGCGAAGAGCGCGATCGTGACCGCCAAGTTCGCCATGCTCTCCAGTCTTCGCTCCCGTCATCCTTCTTCCCCAGAGCGCGGCTGCCAGAATTTGACGATCCGACTATGGATCGAGAAGACAAGAAGGCCCTTGGTGAAGTTGACCAGAATACGTCGGCATTGGAGATTGAGCTCGAGGAAGAGGACGAGGAGCTTGATGCTTTCAATGCTCTCGAGCCCGCCGAGCGGCTAGAAAAACTGGTCCTATTTTTGCGTGAGAAGTACAGGTATTGCTTTTGGTGCAAATACACCTACGAGACGGATGAAGAGTTGGAGGGTTGTCCTGGCCTCACGGAAGAGGATCATGACTGATTCCCGGGTGGTGTTCATGTATTACATTGGAATTGATGACAGCGACAAGCTGACAATTGGCGTTGTCGACTTCTACGGATTTGTATCTCTTCGCGGATGCACAAAAGGTATTCTCATTATAAACATGCAGCTTCGATCTCCCTGGTTAAACCATGATATACAAACGAGGTCCTTGGTATCATAAAAAAGCACACAAAACCGAAAAGAGGAAAGAAAGCAAAAAAAAAAAAAGAACTATACTAATGGTCTCAATAGAGCCTCGGAAGCCTGACTCCCTCACGCGAGAACATGCAATATATACTCAACGCCCTCAAACCAAGCATTCCAATAAATACACCCATCTCAAGCAACACGCTCAAGCAACACCTCCAAAGACCGATTCTTGCACTTCTGCAGCGTCTGATAGCACCCCTCACAAACGCGTAGACAACAAAACACACAGCGGTGTCGGATCTCAATGTCGAACTTTTGGCACGCAAAGCATGGCAAGGGACACCACACGTTCTGCGCGACTGGCATGTTGCGATGCTCCTGGAAGCATCGGAAATGCACCTTATTCAGCTTCGGCGCCACGGGCTCGACCTCCGGCGGGACGAACGGCGATGGAGCCAGATCGCGTTGTGGCATGGCTGGCACGTCTAGCGGGGGTTCTGTGCTGTCTGGGGTTGGGATAAAGTCTTCCAGAGCTGGGGAGGTGGCTTCTTCTTGTGCTGGGAGGGATTTCGGAGGCGAGAGTGTGACTGGTGGTGCTTGTGCTTGTATAGGTTCTGGTGCCGGAACTGGTGCCGGTGCTGGTGCTTGCTGGAAAGAGTTCAGATCTGGTTGAAGCTGGGGCTGGGGCTTTGGCTGCTGCGAGCGCATGCCCGTTGTACGAGGTTGGCTTGGGCTGATTGGGCTTGGAGCTGAGGTTGGGGCAGGCACTGGGACTCGCTCAATTGGGCGCCGGTCTGGGACACCATCGCGGGGGGAGGGGATTGGAGGGAAGTATGGATTGACTTTCGGGGCTTGCAGCACTTCCTTCGGGGGAGAGGGCAATTCCTTGTCCGGCGGAGGCGCCAGCTTGGCTGGTGGAGGAATATGCTGGGCTGACTTGGGCGTTGAATCGTCGGCAGGAACGGACTCGGTGGATTTCTTGCTGTGGAAGGAGAATTGCGACTTGGCCGCTGCGCTGGACTTCATCGCTGTGAGCGATGGGACGCGCAGGCCCCGCGGGCGCTTCTCTGAATCGAAAATGGCCATGTTCAATCAAATAGTTCAAAATTGTATATATCGGTATTTGGTGGATATTGCGATTATCGACGCCACCGTTTGATTAGCACGGGCCGATCTCGATGGGGTCTGAGATAGAAGAGAGAGAAAAAGAGAGAAGAGCGATATAAATACAATAACCGGAGGGAAACGAGAGAAGAAGCGACAGGTGAGAAAGCAATCTTAATTTGCGGTAACAGGTTTTCCCTGAATCCACTCCGATCCAACAAATTTCGTGTTTAGTCTGAGATTAATGCAAGTGTATATGTAGCACCGACACCGATCACGCTCTGCAGAATCCCTTAGGTCCAGTCCGAGATTCTCTCACTACATTCCAACCGGGTCCCTCCAAATTCCGCGATACAGGCACGGTGTAGCCCAACTTGATGCTATAGGACGAACACACCTTGTTTCAACACACCCCTCAAAGGTGGGGGCGATTGGATGAGTCGCAAATTAAACGTGAGAACGGAAGAGAGCGCTAACTTGTTAAATCCAATAGATCTTGCTAGTGTTTCTTATCCGAATACTGCCCCTCATCGCTTATCCATTCCACATTATTCCCTGATATGATGGATCGACTAAGTCTCAGCCACAATCTATGGAGATCTCACGTTCTTAATGTCATCATTTACCCCTTGGTCAATAGGCAGATTTACATTGTACTTCATACATTGTACATGGGGTGTTATTGCAGCTCTTTTAACAGACTTATAGGGTACATGTTCCATGTCAATGATCCGGCTCAGCAACGGGTATGTACGACCTGCGTTCTCGTGCGGCCTGCCCTATAATTAGTCGGGATATTTCTGTATCACTGAACTCGTGGACCTACCTCAACGTATCGCTCAATCCATGGCTTGCAGGCTGCCCAAGCAAGTAGCCCAGCCGTCGCGAAAATGAAGATAAACACCACTGCCTCGTCCTTTCGGGAGTCCCGTTCTACAGCGCAGAGCGCGTCAGCATATATTGTAACACCACGCGATGTCCCCTCTTTCATTTCTGACCGCTGATTCCTTTCGTCGATCACTTACGAAAGCAGGTGGTGAACACGTCGTCTTCCTTAGCGCCTTTGCAAGTCGGTAGCTCGTAGTCTAGGCAGAACTTGCGATTGCAGTCATTGCAGCTTAGGGACCGGTACGTCTGTGCTCGCTTGCTATATTCATCGGTGTGCTCGAGTTCTGAGCTGGCGAAGTTGCGCTCGTAAAAGTGGAGGACGTGGTCGATGCCGGAGGAGGTTTCCGACTTGGCGGGGTCCAGGGGAATAATAGTGCTATTGGAGAAACATGTGCATTTGCAGAAGGACGTTGGTGCTGGAACATAGAGTGTTAGCTGAGACGATCAGGGACATTGCTTTTTGGATTGCAGTTCGAGTGCCTAGGGAACACAAGCTGGCACTTACTGGATGCCACTGTTAGGGATGTGAGGGCGAGAAATGTAAAGAGCAACAGCAGCAGCTGTATGCTGCGTTGTGCAGACCAAGCAGAAAACATCCTTGGCAGAACTGTTGAAGATGCGACAAGCTCGGTCTAGGCGTTGGTGACGACGCCAGACGGGTCACATGACCTACGAAGGACGGCGAGGTCACGTTAGAGTTATGAAGTTATTATGTTTAAGTTGGGTATTTAGAATTGCAGGATCAAGGATGTTTGTTTCAATTACTTGTATATATCAGAGGATGAGCTAAGGACAGCGTCTCGTTATGTATGAACACCAGATCAACTCAACTCTGGCCTCTCATTGGCATTTACTTCATGACTTGCCCTTGAGTCCCTTCTTGCGGTTGTCTCTCTGTCTCTGTTCCTTGGCAGCATCGCGTCTTCTCTTCTTCCAGGCGCGGTTGTTGTCACCCCGATTCTCCCAGAACCATTTGGTGAATTCGGTCTCATCTTTGGTTGCGCCAGCGTCTGTCCGAGGCTTCACTGGGCTATCAATGGATGAATCCTCGGAATCGTCCTCCTCGTTCCATTTCATCTGCTTGGTGGCAGCTGTAGTGTCAGGAGTAGGAGCTGCGCTGCGCTGGCGCCGGTCTTGCAGATCGTGCTTCGTGAATGGCGTGAACGGTGTTTGGGGCTCAGCGGGTTGAGACTCATTTTCTGATTCGATGTCGTTACCAAAGAAACTGAATCCAGCATCTGCCTTCGGGGCTGGTTGCGCCTCGGCTGCTGTCGGGGGAGCCCGCTTGAAGAGAGCTTCCAGTGGATGGACTTCCTTTGCAGTTGAATCCTGTTCCACTTCTTTCGCAGCCTCGCTGGCTACCTCATCCGAGTCCGATTTTTCCAGCATCTCCGCCTCGGAATCAGCGACTTCTGGAGACTTTTCTTTCTCTGTGATGGCTAGCGGTTTGGTATCCTCTTCCTGGACAGACTCGTCTGCGCCCTCGGAGCTCGATTCATCCTCGCTGTCTGAGTCACTGCTCTCATCCGAAGATGAAGCACTTGATGAGGTATAATCTTCGGACTCTGAGGATTCCTCCGGGGTCTTCTCTTTCCGCGAACGCTTTTTCTTGTCGGCACTGGCTGAGTCCTTGACAGCTCGGCGGTTCTCCTTGGTCCCTGGGACTTGCCCTGGTCGGTAGTTGTCCTTCTTGATTTTGTCGTTGGCTGTTTCTCTCAAAGTACCATCAGCATCCACCCAGCCTTTGCCATCTTCAAAAGTAGCTGTGAGCGGTGTGCTTTCCTCCGCAGTGCGCAAAAAGCTCGGTTGGGTCACTGTCTTCGCAAACTCATGAACGACAGTCTCTTTGGAGGATTTCTTCTTCTTAGCTTTCTTATCGTCGGCAGCTGCATTGGATGCTCGGTTGGGTGGGACAGTTGCTCGGAACAGGCATTCAGACTTGTCGGTGTACTTGGACTTGGGTTGTAATTTCTCCTCCTTGTCCTTCTTGCCCTTCTTTTCTTTCTTCCGTCTCTCCTGCTTGGCATCGCTGGATTCTGTCCAGCCTCTCTTCACTTTCCGATCTGCGGGTAGCTCGAAGCCGTCCATCACACCATCCTCCAGTTCCTGCTTCTTCGACTTTTTGGACTTCTTTTTGGAGCTGGAGGCTTCAGGCACTACCTCTTCCTCCTCTCGGTGTCTCTTTTGAGGGCGGGCGGGCTCCACCTTGAACTTCTTGCCCTTGAGAATCGAGCCGTTCAACTTCTTCTTGATCTTATCTGCCTCCATGGTCGGTAGAGTGACGTATCCGTAGTTGTTCTCGGGAAAGGTAGGGATTTCGTGGAAGGAGATTTCCGTGGCTAAGCTACGAATAGATGCTGGTAGCACAGAAGGAAGAATATCCGGGGTGAGAGGTGTGATATGCAGTCTGGTCGTTTCAGTCATTGCCGCGCAGAAAACCCTTCAAATGAGTAAGAATGGGAAACGGGAAATATCAACAGTCACAGATGCATGGTCTGTGTAATTATGAAGAAATTCTGCAAAGCTTCGACAAATCTCCAACTTTTTTTTTTTGAGGGAAAAATAATGTACAGACCGGCTTTATGCCACCGCCTTCTCAATGTGGACGATGAGTGGTCGAACGTTGACGATCTGATGTTGGCCTGAATTAGCCTTGGTGCCTTGGTGCCTCGTTGGAGTCGGGTATCGGCAAGTAGAAGGTACTTGGTCCTAACCGCCCGCGGGGGCCATCAGTCTTGTATTGAATACATGGGATCTGCATCTGCAGGTGACAGGCAACTTTTAACTTCCTTAATAACAGCCCTGATGTAATGCGCATGACCTGTTGATGACGAAGCACACGAGCATATCCATGG